CTACAAATATAATTCGAGCCATAAAGAACAGCGTACAAGATGCATGTCGGGATTAATCCAGGGTTCCCGGCAGTTCTCGAGGAGTGTACGTTGTCGCCAGTTATAGGTCGGGCCGCACATTCATATTGGCTTGATGGAGGACGACCGCCGTATACTCTGAGAAGGTTTCAGATCCGCGTCAAAGTACAGTGTGACCAAGAGTGCGCTTCTGTAAATGATCCCGGAAATCGTGTTTGGCGCGATGGTCGTCGAGCAATTTGCGAACTTAGGTTCTCAGAGCGGCCGCCGGTTTGTGGATCTGACCAGTGATCTCCAAGGACGATGAGGCCATTCTGGGCGAGATTGCCGGTAGATGGACCAACGCAGCAAATGCTAAGCGATGAGTGCTAAGAAGTTACCACCTCGGGGTGGAAACCATCGTGATTGCCTACAGGAACAGTAGACGTGCTGTGGCTTGCCTCTGTGCGAAGGCTAGGTAAGCACTAGTCCAGTTCAGGGGTAAGCTCTCACAGCTGAAGGATTGGGATTGTCACCGGGATCTTGAGAACGAGAAATTGAGTATCGAGAGTGCAAGGCCAAGGACAGTACGGAGCACGGAACACCGTGAAAGCTTTTAGGAAGAACACCGTTCAGATGATGGTGTGGACGTGTTGGGGTTGAATGGCCGAGATCCTGCTGGCAGGCTCTTGAACGCCTCGTAAGGCTGACCATAGGGCACAATCATGTGACCAGTTCTAGTGAGCGACTTTCGGGCCAACCTGTGAAGATCTGGGTTGATACCCCGGGATGTTAGTCGTCTTACGAAGCCATCCGGGGTGTGTCTAGAATGTATAGTACTTATGTGCGTTAACAAGGAAGACCAGTCGTATGATAGAAGGTGGTGTGTGGATGCAGGAAACCCGCCAGCACGAGGGTCCGTCTTGCCGCACCGTGCATCGTCGAGATGATAGAAGACTGCACTATATGTAGCCAAAGGACCATTTCGGTTCTCGGCCGCAGGCAAGTAGCGTCGTATGCAAGACTCTACACGTGGTCGGCGAGTTCCAAGTAAACACAAAGGGTACATTGTACAGAAGTACAACCCATGCTGTATCGAAAGGGAAAATAGGTGAGTATTCAGCCGTGACAACTTTACTGTGATGGCTGAATGGCCGAGCAGCATGTCTGCTCGAGACTACCTAGTCATGCCCTACAGTGGCAGCTGTCGTACATTAGGCGCTGTTGGGAACCCTGATGGTCTCAGCTCGAGACTTAAGGTGCACCTTTGGGTACTGAAGGAAATAAGTTGGGATTGCTCAGCCGTTCCCGATTTCTCTTTGCGATCTCAGCTTGCTGTTTCTTGTTGAGACGCTGTTGATGAAAACTCCTGAGCACTGTTAGCAAAGCCTTGGGAAAAGCTCAGAAAGGTGATCCAACCTGTGCAAGGCGAAGACTCGAGGCTCTTCTCCCCTAGGCATAGGGCTTGCTGTGCCTGATTTGGCCTGGAAAAAGTGGTCAACATGGAGTAATGGGCAGTCTACAAGGTGTACTTGCGTCGCCGTTGGGCTTAACTTCATCTTTCTTCTCGTCGTCAGCTTTGGCGTCTTTCTCCTTGTCATCTGATTTGGCCTTGTCTTTCTCTTTCTCCTTCTTCTTGCGTTGCTTCTCCTCGTACTCCTTCTTGACCCGCTCTATCTCCTCGTCCATCTCCTTCTTCTTTCTAGCAGCAACGGCTTCTTCATCAATAATTGGTGTGCAGAAGCGCGTGTCCTCGAGATGAATGGGACAGACGTAGAAGAAGTCTTGCTTCTCCGGAGTGATCAAGACACTAGTGCTGGGTTTGAAGCAGACATCACAAGATTTAGCAGCGCTATCGGCTACCTTCCGGTGGTGCCATATGTTGGGGATAGACATGTCGGTAGGCCTTGGGCTCAACTGTGTGCAAGATCTCGAGTTAGACAACTAGAGAATGAGAATACTGCTCCGATATGTGTCCTCAATCTGATGTGACTTCATCATGAGGCGGGGGATTAGTTGGCATTGCACCACAGGAATAAAGCCTGAAACAGGCGCGATGGCGGGGTGTCTAGACTAAGCTTTAGTGCTGGATGTAGCTTGCCATGCTACCTACTTAGTATGCCTCACCACTTCACCCTTTCTAAGTGGCCCACCGCCTGAGTCTAAAGTTACAATGGTCGCAAACCGGCCGATGCAGAGGACAAGACAGGGCGTCTTTGTCTCGGGAACCATATCTTGAAGTTCAAGGCATCCACCGATACAGTAGCCCAGAAGCTTCCTCGTAATCCGTGTCAGAGCCGGAGACTAATAACACCGCCACCTGGATTGCCAGCCTAAGTAAGTAACTTAGCATGCTACCGTAGTTATAGGCATGAGTTACTAGACCAGGTAACCTTATTAGGGGCCGTGCACGCGTCTCAGCGCGTCAAGCTTTTGAATTCGACTGAAATGACGACGAGGCCTCGACAAGCCCTCAACAAGCGGATTTTCTACTTACTTTAGGGATAACCTTTTCCCACTTCATTGCGGGCCCAGAAACACTCCAGGCATGAGCATCGACCAACAGAATACTCGACCTTCACGAAGTCCCGCTACTTAAGATGTCGGCCGGATTGGATGCCCAGAAGCTTGATGCCGTCTTCAAATCAAGACCCGATATCCTCCAAGGTATCCAGGAGGCTGCCGACTCACCGGCACGCATAAAGCTCTTCAACAACATTGCCAGCTTCGTCTATGAGAAAATCGCCGATCCAGCAGCATCTGAGCCATCTCTCAAGCGCCGTCGGGTCGACATCGAACCGAGTCGGAACGGAGCAGCGTCTCAAGCCGCTACAGTTAGCTCTAGTACCGACGTTGCGGAGGAGAATATCCTTTTAGAGATAAAGGCCATATCTGTGTCTATTCCGCAGCGGAAGAAGTTCGATCTTTGCTTCACAGCGCAGCACCTCTATGCCCGGGCACCGAACACGACAGCGCCCATCCCGGGTATCATCTATGCTTGGAAGGACATTGAGTATGCCTTCTACCTCCCCGTTCCAGAGAAGGCGCAACCTCAGTACAACTACATCCTCTTTCCACGCGGCTGCGCACTTTCCTCTCTATCCAAGAGTGCTACTCCGGCGGCGATGGAACCCTTAGTCTTCGCCATCGGAGCCGGCGCACCGACACCTGGCTCGATTGGCGGTCCGAATGCTGGCGCCGCATTGTCAGTATCTGATACATACAGCATGCTATTTCATTGGGCTATCAACAAGTGCCTGAAGGCGTCGTCCAATGATGTACAGATCACGGCAGCCGATCCCGCCAAGTTCCACAGTATGGTACGGCAGGCGCATCGGCCCAAGGAGAAGGCGGTACATGTCAAGGCCTTCAGGGGCTCAAAAGATGGATATCTGTTCTTCCTGGAAAACGGAATTTTGTGGGGCTTCAAGAAGCCGCTGATGCTCATCCCACTGGACCGCATCGCAGCTATGAGTTATACTAGCGTACTACAGCGGACGTTCAACATAGTGGTCGAAGTGTTTACTAACGAAGGCGGAGACGAGGAGGCTACGGAAGAGATAGAATTTGCCATGTTGGATCAGGAGGACTACGCGGGCATCAACGAGAGTTACGTCACGCGAAAGGGTCTCCAGGATAGGAGCATGGTAGATCAGCGCAAAGCGAAGCTGGAGTTGGCTGAAAATGCCAAGAGCAAGAAAGGTATCGATGCTGCCAACGGCGATGCGATTGGTGATATGCGGGGTGGCCTGTCAGAACTCGCACGGGCTGAGCAGGAGTTGCTGGAGGAAGAGGATGAAGATGAGGAAGACTATGACCCTGGTTCTGGCGGAGAAAGTGAGGGCTCTGGGTCAAGCTCGGAAGATGATGATGATGACGACGACGACGACGACGACGACGGTGATGCTGGAGAAGACGGCGAGGAAATGGACGATGACGAAGGTGGGGATGAAGACCAAGACTGAACGGCAGATGCTTCAGGATCCCGATAACCCCTTCGGATTTTGCGCCATACGATCGGCCAGCTGCCGCGTCTACGAGTATCTGGAGAGGACGAAGAAGGCGTCTGTTGTGAAAAGGTGACCACGGTACATCCTGTCTTGCTAGCTACCAGTCAGTTGTACAGTAAGGTGTGGAAGGCCTTACTGGACAGCTATTGATGGAAAGAATCTCCTATCCCATTGGTTCATTTGAACTGAATATCTACGGCAGGCATTCTCCATTAAACACAATGGCGTGAACTGAGAGCGAAGCCGATTGAGACCTATCGGGCGATACATAGCTGTGGCCGTGCATGGCACGCTTCCATAATCATGATGATACACATAAGCATTAAGTACGAAGAAACAGCTTGACACTATTCGGATAGCTAGCTACCTACCTGAATCTCAAGATTATTAGACAGTCGTCCGTTTGTTGCATTTGGCCGCGAAGGGCGACAAGAGATATATCGTCGCATTCCCTTCCATGAGTTATTGCTCGATATTCACTTTGAAACACAAGATTATTGAGTAGCATATGAAGATATATAACCACAATTCCTCTACAATAGCTATCAGCATTACTTCTTAAGAGCAGTGTCGTACCCTTATAGAGTAGATAGCTAGGAAGTTACCACTATATCAAAACCCTAGCCTCTTACTACCGGCCATTACGCCTGTTTGCCAGATCGAAGTAACACCGAAAGCTGCGTGTTCTCTATACAACCCATCTGCTGGCACTTTTCCTTAAAAATTTAATTGCCCTGATAACGGGTTATGCCCTGGGATAATTTGGCGCTGCCTCATTCAGCGTCCCCTGTATGCTTCCGGCCTCTTGCGTACTGGCACGAGACGCATGACGAGACATTTCTCTGCCCGTCCGGGACCATCCATTTCCATGCCCCGGGAGGCAAAGACCATCGACGCCGAGACGGGAGATTGTGTGGTTGTGTCTACGGGGGCAGCGTAGCCGCAAAGCTAAATATATTTCAATAAGCTATTCGCTGTCAACAAACAAGCAAGCCCTGGTTGGTGTAATAGTAGCACACCGGGTTGTCACTTGAAACGAGTATATTCAGTCCAAACCCCGTTAGGGGAGTCGGAAGTCCAGGTTCGAATCCTGGATCAGGGGCATATTTTTTTCTTCTCCGGTCGGACGGTGCGCGCGCGCCCTCCATCTCCGTCCCTATATGGTAGGTTTTTCTATAAGTACATGCAACCAACAGTTCGAGAGATATCAAGCAGATACCGCAGGTCTGTTTGCCGTGGTTAGTTAGAGGTATTGTTGCGCACAGACCATCTGTTGTCGTTCGCTTGTAGGTAGCATCTGACATTTTGGAGCTAAAAATTTCCCTCCCCGAAGCTCAACTTTAACCTCAAAGCTGAACCACCCAATTCCCATCGTATAGCATACCCAGCCAGCATCCCCAATCCACCTCCCACCGGCGCGATGACAGGGACGCAAAAGCCAATCCGGCTCCCGCCGCTCCGGGTGCTCCGAGTCAAGAACCCGAACCGGCAGGCCGACCGGCCCTGCATGGCTCTCATGTCATCAGTTCTCGGTACGTCTCGCGGATCTCTCGCTCACTGCAGCGTTCTTGTCCGGACTTGTTACTAATGCGAGTCGATCGACAGCTTGCTGGGCCTCGGCAGGATACAGCACCGCCGGCTGTGTGCAGATGGAACAAGCTCTACGAGGGTGCATGGACGGCCCGCAGCCGCCGGCCCCGAAGCGCAACGAGATCAACTACCATTTGTCGAGATTTCAGAGCAGGGTGGCTGGTGTCAAGAAGAAGTAAGGCCCGGGCTAGGAAATACTTCAATGGATGGACGGGGTCGGCAAGGATGAGGGGAGGGCTTGTTGAAGACGCCATTCTGCGCAACGAACGTACACCTGACGAAAGAGATCTGGCTACGATACAGAGTTTCGGCCCGACGCTGCCAATGTACAATATCAGATTCACATGGCGGTAGACTCGAATACTTGAGGAGAAGACTTGGAGGAAGCATGGCAGGCGTTCTGGGGCTGATTTCAGGGGCGGCGAAGCTACACTACGGTCTGAAAGCCCACCGACATCTTGTATACCATGTGTAGAAATGAGAATAAAATCTCATCATAAGCACTTGTTCTAGGCGGATGTGCCACAATGCGAAAAGTTGAAGAGTTGCAGTTAGCTGTCTACGAGCTATCAGCAAGCTGGCTGTCAAGGCCTGAAGTCCGCGCACACAGAGATATGTGATGTCCTACGAATGGTCTCCCCATTTGCATATGCTCTGATAAGGTTTAAGTGGGTTAGAGGCCAGTATTATTAGCCACTACACATCACCGGTGAGTCCTGCTACAGTACAGCCAACTCCTGTTCCCCCCCTATCAGATTCTGCCTTGCAATATCCCGACTCTCCGCCCTCGTACACTACCCGCTCAACACAGACACGGCAAATGCAACGATTGGTAGTTACTGCAGTTCGCCCCATCAGGCGTAGCACTTCCCGTTTGTAAGTAAATCTGCCAGTAATCTCCGTCGAGATTGCAAGCCAGAAAGTTGAGTTCTGGATATCTCCAAGTCAGCAATCATCTTCGACTCGCGTTCCGCTCTCGGGAACTCCTTGACACCAGATCCTCTCGTTCGGGGACCCTCGTCCACGCCACTGTCTCTGCAATCCCCCATGCCGAAGCGCAGTACCACCCGCCCCAGAAGCTAAGAAATGGCACTCACGTCGCCCCCAGGTACTCCCGGTACTCGTGATTATAGTATCACCCTCCAACGCCCACGCGTTCGTGCTACCCGCATCGCCGAAGGTCAGCGTCTTGTAGCTCGTAGTGTCGTTGCCGATGTTGAGGTACGTGCTCGTGTTGGCGCTCTGGATCGTCCCGTCGATGTTGTAGTACTCGCTGCTGGCCTCGGGGCCCATGACCGCGATTGTTGCTGTGGGTTCCCTGGTTAGCCGGGGGCGGCCTATGGTAGAGAGACGGCCCCAAGAAAGACAAAAAGGAAAAGAAAGAAAAAAGAAAAGAGGGGGAAAACGTACGGTCTTGCGGATACGTCTGAAGGTAGTAATGGAAGATGGGGTCTTGGACGGCGCGAATCTGCTCGGGCTTTGCGGCTGTCAGCGCAGCTGCTAGGATCAAAGTGACGATGGAGAGCATCTTGAGTATAGCTGTGAGCGTATCGACGAAGTGCCTCGTGTACTAGGTGGAAGCTGCGGAAAGAGTTGGAAACCCAAGTACGATTAGCAAAGAATCAACCTCCAGATCTAGACACCGAGTGGAAGCTCTAAAAGCGTTGCAAGGATAATTAGCGGGTGCGTATTTACTACATATAAGTCAATGACCGGAGGTCGTTACGCCGTACAAGATCCCGTAAAGGTAGTAGTAGCAAAGGAAATTCCGGCTTGCGCACCGAGCGGTCCCTGGTAAGGGGTTAGTTGCACTGTAGGATAGACACCAACTCCCATTAGAATTGTAGTAGAGGCAGCTTGGGATTGTGACACAAGTAATCTGGACAAGCATTACGGAAGGGGATGTACAGGCCCCCCCGGAGCTCAACTATGGACCGTAACAGGTAAGAGCGGAGGATCACGTCCGTCTGCAATCTATCCGGTACGGGTCGGGAGAGGCCGTAATTCCAACAATTAATGAACACGGTGTTGGAAGAGGTCCGCTGCAAGAGCCAATGAGGTCATAGAATACAGCAAGATAGCTTTGAGAAAACCCTCGATTAAGATCTCGGTTGCCTACCCTATATATACGTAGGCGACCAGATCCCTACCAGTCACAGTGCCTGGCCATGTGTCCCATCACATCAGTTCATCACGAGCCTTTCAACACTCATGTTGGCGCGTCAACCAACGTAAAGCCTCTTACTCTTCCTCCACCATCACCAATACCATCCCCGTTGTCCGTCTCCGTCTCTCCTATCTCAGAAGTGGAAATGCTGTCGAAAAACCTGATAGACGCCGCTGCCCTTTAACTAGCGCCATTGCCGCGCATGGACCATCTGAGAAATCGATGATTTGCAGAACTGAGTGTTGATTTGGACGTATTCCATAGAGCGGCTTCTGTCGAGGTGACCAAGGAAACCCCCCCCCCCCACCATCCCTCCATATCCATAACGAGCGTTGTTCGATTTTAGCCAAATCACCTCCCCCCCAAAAAAGAAACCTCTGGAGAAAAAGAGTGTGTAACCAGTATCACAAGTTGCCCGAATGTGCCAAGTGGCTGGTATCGTAAATATATCCAAAGAAGTTATAATGCCGTAAAGCGAGCGTAGTCGTGGTTCTTGAAGGGAAGAACTTGCAGGAAAAGAGAAAAAAACAAAATGTGGTATCAATGTAATGCGTCGTCGTCTATGCAGTATGTTGTATGCCTTGATGATGTCGTACACCCAATGATCATGGGTGATGGTGATCTCCGCCGTTCCCCAAAGGCCCATCATGTGAACCGTCCCTATCACTGCGGACTCTTCTCCACGTGTTCCGGATGCCGTGTGTCTGCTGCCTCCAGCTCGCTTCCCAGCTCGCACCTTCGAAGAGTGTCTCGAATTACATGTCGCCAACGCAGAAAAGTTCTATTTCCCCAACACCACCCATGTTATACTGGTTCTTCGAACCTTCACGGTGCTCCAAAAATGCAATCTGTATGTCCTCGTCGCTCTCGATATTGACAAAGTCACCGTCCTCATCGCGATACCGCAGCTTCAGATTGCCCTTACCAATCGAACTGCTAGTAAATCGCGAAAGCTTTGCGTCAATACGGTCGATCATCGACTGGTAGGTAATGTTGAAAGCAACGATCAGTGTTGTGTAGTTGCCGCTATCACAGTTCACCTTGACTTTTAGCTGCGTCGGCATCGAATCCGGTGCAGGACTGAACAAGGGGTTTGAAGCGGTGCCTAATGCTGGAGAGACTGCAGTTCTGTTGTCGAGCTGGAGTGGCGCTGGGACGCTCCCTTGGGATCCCGGCCCTGGTGTATTTTGTCGAGGATAGACGGGTTGCGACGGGAACTGAGACATCTTGCCGCCATACGAATTCTGGTGTTGGTGCATACGTTCTCGCTGAGCGCCCGGACTCTGTGTACTAGACCGAATAGGGACGTCTTGCAGCATTGGAGATCCAGTTTGAGATCGCGGGATGTTCTGATCATGCGTGAGATGTGCAGGTATTCCTGGTACAGCCGGAACGGGGGTACTGCTATTAGAGCGCCGCCCGTTAAGCTGCCCATTGATGTCTGGTGTACTATAAGAGCGGTTTCGCTGTTGCTGGGCGAGAGTCTGCTGAGACTGAGATGCCATGACCGGCATCGAGGGCCCACGAGGGTTCCTCCCATTCATGCCGTAGGTTTGCACAGGAGACGTCCCGTCGCGAGAAGGTGCTCGAGGCATCGCTGGCGCCGTATAGCGACTGGGGGGGTTAGTCGGATCTTCCCAGCCTTGTGGGACTCCCTTCGGGAAGGAGTATTGGCCAGAAGAGAATTGTATGCTGCCAGTTGTGCTGGTCCGCGTGGACGCGGGAGATTCGCTCGTAGGGGAGAAGTATGAATCCATTCCGCGCGGCCCAGGCGAGCCGGCTCCCGGAGGGACCTGTGTTTGCAGACTGAGCTGACCCGGCGGAGCTGGTAAGGGGAATCGCGGAGGCGGCGCCCTAGCAATGCCTGCCAGGGATTGTGTACTCTCACCTGTGGCGGACCGACTCCTCAAGCTGGTACTAGACGCATTACGTGCCATAACTCCACCAGTCGACTGTTGCGGACCACCAAATCCAAGATTAGGTGATGCCACTTGCGTTGCTGGCACGGGTGTCTCGTCATCGTCGTCGCTCTCGTTCTGGGCGTAAGGGTTCTCCATGTTCTTCGCATTGCTCATCCATGCAAAATCCGGGGCCTGCTGATCTGGGCTTGCGGTGAGCGCAGGGGCGTTGTCCTTTCGCTGCGTGTCCAGACCGACGCACCATTTCTTCATCATCTCCTCGTTTTTGAACTTGACTATGAAGTTCTCGACGCCAGGGTCCCCCTTCCACCAAATCTGTACCGTATACGAACCTTTGGAACGTTCAGCAACATAGGTCGAGCCGAATAGGGGGTATATGGTATTGAGTGTGTATCTCTCACCTGGTTTGGCAAATGACAAGACCTC